AAAGATCATAAATATAAAATAAATCCATTTCTATACATTCAAGGTATAAAATACAAATAAACATGGCTTCTCTGCCTCGCTATCTTTGTTCCTCCCCCGCTCAAAACACCAACTTTACCTCTGATTTGAACATTCATGGAAATACACGAACCAAAGCATGTATATCAACTAAGCTAAGGAATTACCTTAAGCATGTTTATCTTTGTTCATGGTAGAAGGGTGCCATATGTCAATTTTCATAAAGGGACGTGGGCTTCACGCCATCTCCACTGTGTGCTAAAAGCCATGTAAAGATTATGCTGCGGCTGTTGCTTTATTACTGGGAACGAAATTCAGCAGGGAGCCCCCACTGTGTTGAACCGAGAAGAAGACATGCCTTGTTTTTACGCCTGTAAGGAACAAAAGTTGAGGGTGCACGCGCCATGGATGCAATACTAAAGAAAGAAAGCAGGCAAGCAACCTAGGTAGCTAGCTAGCTAGCTGTGTTTTTTTTTTAAAAAAATATTATTATTAATTAATTTTAAAGAAAAAGAGTAGAAAAATTCCCTGTCAAGGAGGGATAGGGTTGGAGAAGTGGGTTAGAGGACCCACAAGGGACCAACCACCACATGATCGCACATGGTTCAGTTACCCACTTGTCTAATGAGAACCTTTTCCCCTTATCTAATCCTTGATTACTTATTTGTTTTATTAATGATAAAGATATATTCGAGTTAATTTATATATATAAATCAACATTATTTATTTAGAATATTTTAAAAATAAAAACTTGTATCTGCAACTCAATAAAAACACGTTTTCAAAGTCATTATTGGTTGAAAAGCACTACATTATCTAAATATTTTTTAAAAGAATTATCTCAATTTTAAATGTAAATGTTCTTATAATATTAACTAATAAAACTGAAGTGTTTGGTACACCTTGCAACCAAATTATATGAATAATTATTCTAACTAGAATATATAATTTATTTTTATTCAAAAAAGAAACATGTATGTTAAAATAAAATATGGAGTGAACTCCATTATGTTTTATTCTTTGAAATAACATTTCCGTGTTTCTTTCTAATTTGTCCTACGCATTCTTAGCTACATGATCGCCGTGATAGAAAGGAGTGATCAATTGGATACGAGTCTCCTTTTATAATTTCCTCAATTATCATTTTCTTTGTCAAGAATTTTTTGGCCTTTTCTTTTCCTACCTCGTGTTACTTTGATTAATTTCCATAGGTTTGAATAGAATAATTAAACTATCTTTCTCTCTCTTTTTTTACATGTTTTTTATGTAAGAAATATCAAGTTTAAATTAACATATTTATGCAAATATCTAATTAAATAAATCGAGAATAATTTATATCAATATATAAAAAAATAAAGTCAATAACTATAACAAAATACATATTTAGAAAAGATAATCAAGAGGTGGGTGTGAAACAAGATATTTAATCTTATAGCACAATTCATTTATCTTATTGTGTTCAATAAATCTATGTATTAAAATTATTTTTATTTAATCAAATAATAGTAGAAATAGAAATATATAAAATTGAATGAATAAAATAAAAAGGAAATAATATCTCACAAGGTTGCACTTATATTATCCAAAAATAAATATTTTTTATTTTTAAAATAAATTGCAATTATATAAAATATAAGAAAATTATAGATCAATTAGAAAATGTTCTTAAAATTAAATGCAAATAAAATACTTAAAATATAACCACTATTTTAAAAAAACCATTTATTTGTCACATTTTATTTTTTTGGATAAAGAAACAAAGTCAAACAACGCTTTGCCTGACTTTGCACAAATTATAGCAATTGTGATGGTCGAAAAATTAAAGTTTAATATTTTTTATTTAAAAACTCATTCTCAACTCATTTCTAATCTAAAACACCTACATAGAAACCTTGATAAATCTATCCATGCCCTGTAAAACCCAAAAAACCATTCCAAAACCCGAAATCAACCTGAAATAAAAAAAAAACTTCTCGAAGTCAAATGTGGTTTTTAGGCACTTTCAAGGTAAAAAATAACTAAGTTGAATTCATCTTATCAACTTGAATCACTTGATATAAAATTGATCATTTTAGTAGTGGAAATCATTGCCAATAATATTTTTCTCTCTTTACCATCATAGTCCAGTGATATCTTTCTTTTCTTTCTCAAGCCATGGATTAAGAAATAACAAAAACAAGTTTTTGTACCAAAATTAAATTTAAAAAATATTAAAGGACCAGATAGGTATGATATATGAATTTTGAGGACTAAAGTGAATTTCTTACAAGAACATTGAAACCATCATCTATTTGCAGTGCTTTTTCCACTTCAATTCCCCATCTTTTGATTTTATCCTGAGTCAACAAATTTGATGCAATTATCCTTTGATTTTGTCCAAAAAGGATGCAATCGTGTAAAACAAAAGTTTGAGGATCAAAATAAAAAAAAATTGAACAACGAGTCCATAGTAAAATGTGACAAAGTAAACAATGCATGTATAGTAAAAACATCACACCATTTAGTGTTTTTTATAACTACATAGTATGCCGCAGGCCACACTAATATTTAGCATAAAAAATTGTTCAAGTCATAGAGAACTTTTTAATAGCCAGCAAGTCCATCTTGAAATCTCCAGACCTAACTAATTGCTTGGACTAGATTTTAAATTAAATTATTTGGGAGTGCTCCTCATGTGAAACAATTAACCTGATAGGTCCAGAATCAATCTAGAGGACTGGTAGAAACGTGGTCTCAATTTAAATAAAAATTTGAATATGACATTATTTGTTTTTAGTATTAAGATGATGAAATATTAGATCAATTTGGGTCAACCTAAGTCTCAAGATATAACTGGCCAAATCCGCAAAGTAGTTTATGGACTCCACTGAGTTTTATAATTGTTTATTAAATTATTTTTATTTAATTATATGTTAAAAAAATATTTGCATGTAAAATCAAGCACCAAATCAAGATAACAACCTAGGTCATTGACTCCATTGAGTTAAAAAAAAAACTAAAAAAAAATACTTGCAAAAGAGAGCACTAACTCAATATTGTGACATCTATTTAAAATAATAATAATCTTATAGAAAGAAAGAAAAACCAAATATTTAAATATGTAATTGAAAAAAAAGTTAGCATGAAAAATCAATAATAAAAATATAATGAAATTAAAAAAAAAACAAGAAAAAGGTAGAAAAAGCCATTTGCGAGCCTTATTGGCCCAGCATGACCGGACTTTTAAAAATACCTAAATGTGCGGACTTGGAAAGTCCACAAACTTGGGCCTTATTATGTTTTTTTTTTTATAGAACATATGACATGTCATCCGTTTTAACCCTATCTAAGAAAAAAAGAAGCAAGCGCATGCTGTATTCTTTTTCTAGATTTTGACCATTATAAGTGGTCATAAATGGAAACTCAGCTTATAAGGCTTGAAAACTCATTTTCACATATTTTTTCAAGCAAAAACTCCTAAGAAATATCCTAGGAACCTTAGAAATCTCATATAGTATTGAAGTAGCATTTAATTTGTTAAAAAAAATAAAAATCAATCTCAAAGAAAAAAAAAATGCGAGGCCTGATCTACTTTTTTAGACAAGAAAAGAGGGGAAAGACCTAAATAAAACTATGCTCGTCAAATGAAATGCATTGACACCAAGAACAATGAGTCTTTCCATCTAAAAATGGTTATTTGTGAACTTTCTCTCTCTTTTGTTGTAATCCAGGGATTGTCTCTCCTTTCTCTCTTAAGTTTAGGGACTAAAATATGAGAAAAACAAACCATTGGACAAAATCGTTGCACTTTCAAACTAAAGGGACCAAAAATGATTTTTGGTAATTTCCCAAAGGAAAAATAAGCAAAAAGGTGCTGCATATTAAAAAAAAAAACCAAAAGGCCTCTTCTTTTTTTTTTGTTTAATTTTGGTCCTCTCACTTTTATTCTTTCTCAAACAATAAAATCAGATCTTTTTCATGAAATCAAACACAAATCGATACCAAGATGTTTTTTCAAGACCTATATTACCACATAAAAATAGAAAAAAAAAATACAACCGCAAATCCCATTTAACAAAACATCAAAGGATCAAATTGAAAAGAAAAATAAATTGATGATCGAAGATAAAAAAACAAAATAGGACAAGAATTGACACCATATTATCTCAAAAGAACAAAAGGCTTACGTTATTTCTTTGTTTCAATTTGGGTCCTCTTATCTTTTCTTTTTTTAAATAAAATTTAAATTTTATTTTATAAAATTAAGCACTGACCTGATACCAAGATTTTTTTTAGACTTTTATAATGGTATAAAAGGAAAATAAAAACAAATCATCAACTCCAAATCCCAATGAAACCAACATAAAATTTTGAAATTGATAAAAAAAAAATTAGATGATCAAAATGACAAAAAAAAAGTGAAACATTGTGCAAATCTATAGTGTTTTGCCTCACAATCCACAGTGAATTACATAGGAGGGCTACTAGGTTTTTTTTTTTGTTAATAATCAAAGCTCAATATATTGTTTTCTTTGGCCATATTATGTTATAAATTTAAAGTTTTAATTAATTGTTTATATAAATTTAAAGACATTTGAGGGAGATAAAGAATCATAATCTCATTCAATTCTTGATATCCCCTTAAAATAGTCGAACTTCTATGTGAAGCTGCCTATATGATAAAAATATTTTAGTTGTTAGATGTATTGTCTTGGTCCATGTTGATCATGTAAGCTAAGATAAACTTTAACTAACAGTCCATGACTAACACCTTTACATGTAAGCCCAAATTAATTGTACTAGTATTAAGTTTAGGATTACAAAACTTATCTTCACTAGGTCTTCGAATAGGGCATAATGCAAGGCTCATGACACTTACTAGCCCAAAATTCAATGGGCCACAAATCCTTTCTCGTTATTTTTATATTTGGTAAACAATAGATGTTAATTTAACTAAGCCTATATAATGGCGTTGTACATGCCCATTGCATGACCTAACTAACATCTTCTCTTTTAATAGTATACTATAAACTATTAGGGTTTATTACATCATGTCATTGTCCCTAAACCAGGTTATATAAATTTCATATTCTTTTTTTTTATTATTAACATGGATGTCTGGATCAGCTTACACGCACCACGACTAATCACACGGTCCACTGAACATCCTGCAAGCCCAGTGAACAGGTAAGGCACCGCGGGGGTGACAGGCGTACCACACAGAAAGGAGCCAGCAGACATAGGAAGGAAACCACTCGCCAGCCCCACTGCCACTGGGACTCGAACCGAAATTCGAAAGAAGACGAGCAGCGCCTTACGCCACTGAGCTACAAGCTGCTTGGTATAAATTTCATATTCTTTTTTTATTATTATTTTTTTTTTTTGATTTACGTGGGGTGTCCGGGCCAGCTTGCGAGCACCACAACTAATCCTCACGACCCACTGAATACCCTGCAAACCCAGTAGGCATGTAAGGCACCGCGGGGATGACAGGCGTGCACGCCAGGACTCGAACCCAGGTGCAGTGGAAAGAGACAAGCCCCTTCCACCGCTAGGCCAAGCCCTAGCTTGCATAAATTTCATTTTTTTTTTTTTGATTTACGTGGGGTGTTCGAGCCAGCTTGCGCGCACCACGACTAATCCCCACGGCCCACTGAATACCCTGCAAACCCAGTAGGCATGTAAGGCACAGCGGGGATGACAGACGTGCACGCCAGGACTCGAACCCAGGTGCAGTGGAAGGAGACAAACCCCTTCCACCGCTAGGCCAAGCCCTGGTTTGCATAAATTTCATATTCTTCATGTAGGTTGATGTGGTTCTTAAAAAACAATAAATACCACACCCGCTTAGCGTTGCACCCTTTAACTTTCTTTAGCATAAACGTACAACACAATAAACAAGGAAACTAGTTTGCCAAAATGATCCAAGGAATTGAGCACCATATACAAGCCAATCTTCTCTTCCGACCCCATTATATAAAGAATATCAACTGTTTTACAACCAGCAGCGAGCTACCCCTTGGATGCCTAAGCAGTAAACCCAAAATCTCCAAAACCATCGCGCACCAATGTTTCGTGGTGTGTTTATGGACTATACTCGTTACAAAATGGGATAAAAGAAAAAAATCAGAAAAGGAAATAAAAAGAATGTTGGCTACCTTTTTTATCAAAAATTATCATTACAGCGTTGACCTCCCCAAAATCATTCCCATCCCTATGACATCATGGACTCTATGCATGGGGCACTCCTTGATTTCAAACACCGGACCACTGGGTCTCAACTCCGCCCCAGAAAGGCAAAGAGCGGAGGCGATTGAAACAAAGGAAAATCCCCCCCAACACCCCCAAGAAAATACAACAGGTGAAACAAGGAGAACAAAGAGTAGGCGTGACAGGCCTCTTCTGATGTAGAAGGGACCAGACTCACCATGTAATGACTAACCTGAACCCTTGGCAGAGAAAGTCGTAGCCCCTTTGTCCCACTACCAGACTAACTGGGAACTCAAACATGCAAAGCTCCTCAAAAACTTTGAGCCTGATAATTCTTCAGGCCTGACTGACTTCCATGATCATTGAACTAAGCAAATGCTTCAATGAGACTGGCAATGACTCTAATGAAATATGCATGAACAGGAAGCAATGAACAAGTTTGACCGCAGGCCCTCCAAAGCCTCTAAATTATGAAGCACCAGCAGTGGATGCCTTCTCCAATTTTTCTTTTTCAATCACTACCCTCCTCTGCTCAGCATGCTCGGCAACACCATTCGCCAGCGCTTGAAAATGAAAGTCAAGTGTCTGGGTAAGATTCTGAAACCTTAATGGATCTGATGCTTGCATGGCTGATTCAAGGGAACCAAAACAACAAAAGTAACTGGTTAGATGACTATAAGAAATTAGTCTTAAATTATTTTTTTCTGTATGATAGCAAAAGAGTTTTCCCTTGCCTTTGATCGTGTCCACAAAGAAAATGAATGGGTCCACCTCATCAATTGGTGATTGCAACTCCTCATCGTCACTATAGTCATCATCTGAGTCGTCGTCGTCGTCGTCGTGTGGACGGAAAGATTTTGCCTGCGATGTGCATATTGCAGGTGATGATCAAGAAAGTGTTGCAAGCATAATCAAGTTGAAGAAAAACATGAAACAAACAGTTCAGAGAAACTTCAGCTAAAAATCACAGGATAAATAAGCGCTCTATAAACCAGGGTTTAAAATTTTAGTTTGATACGAAAACAATCTCATAAATTTTAGTTTGATATGAAAACAATGTCCTGTAAAATTCCTAAGTGATCGCTCAACGCATCTCAAATAACATAAATAAACAATATGGTTAAAGATATAACCCACATATATTAGCAATCCCAACACAGAAGTTCATCTGTGAGATACAGGAATCAAGATATATAAATGGCTTAAAATGAATGGAGATGGCATAAGGAAATCTATTGCAAGGTCAGAACAGTTCATGGGACATGGCAATTTTGGTTATGCAATATCCTATAAATAGACAGCAGATCAAGAGAAGCTGGCTCCATTTGTTTCACCTTATTGGGGGCTATCAAGGATACAGAAGATGGAGAAACTTCAGAGCACGTGCACAAACTACTGTAATTGTTATAATGAAATAATTTGGCTGATAACACCAACCATATACCAGTTTGAATTTTTTCATATCAAGGCAGTCATGCCATCAACCAATTACTGGTTTTCCAAAAGAGATGCTCTATATCAACAAGAAAACATAATGAATAAATCACAAACAGGCAAAATGGCAAGCCTTCTAATTTTAGTCAACTTTTTGGGCATTTATTAATTGTCCCTATTTCATGTATCCTTCGTTCAAAATATTCATGAGACTTCTTTGCTCTTCCCAAAATGAATCTTCAACATTTCAAAATTTTAGATTTCCAACGATTAAACTAAATGTTATCTTCTTTGAAAAAGATCGGGCTCATCAGAGAATCAACTTGCATTGCCACCCGACACCTAATAATGTGATTTTGTAAAGTGCTCTCCCTTGGTAGTGAAGAGGACATGAAAGAAATTAGTGTGTGTGTGTGTTGGGGGGGGATGTAAAAGGTAATTTGAGAAGTTAAAGTGATCAAGTACATGCTTTGACTTTCTGAACATGAAAATGCATTTTCAAATGGCCAAGCAAGCACTTTCATGGGATACGGAATAATTTGATTTCTCTCTAAACACGCAGTAACTCAGGGTTTTAAGATGGTAGAAAAAAGTACAGCATGCTTAATTTTCATTTCAAATAAAAACAAAAATAGATCAAGGCTAAGAACACCTCCAGCAAATTCAATAAAATATGGGGTTAAAAAAACATGGATTCTCATTATGGATGAAATTATGAGAAGATGATCACACCTGTACAGCTAATTTTTGAAGTTTAATGCTTTCAGCTTCATCCCCATCCTCAGCATCAACTCCCATTTCCTTGTCAGACTCATCAGCGTCATCATCTTCATCATCAATCTGAAAACCATCCATATCATCAAGATCTTCAGCTTCTTCCTCCTTTGCAGCTTCTGTCCCAACACATGATGTCCAAAGAAGATCAATATTGATCCAAACATATAATGAAGTCATAGCTGAGGGAAAAGAGCAAGGAGAGGAGAGGACAGACTAAGACCTGCAAGTTGATCTTTGTATTGAACAAGGAGATCAAGAGTGGCTCTGAAAACACGCCCCAGAGCATCTCCTGGTAATTGATCCGCAGGGAGAGCAAGTAGTGATGTCAGTCCCAAACAACAAACTTTCTTATCATGTTCCCTGCACCACAAAAATCACTGCATGATCCACCAAATCATAGAAACCATTTAATGGAACAGAAGAAAGCAACCCACCATTTTACAGCTTCTATGAAGCCCAAGGATAGAGAAGACGAGCATGGGAAAAGTTACCTTTTAAAATTTGCCCGTACACCACTCTTTTTCACTTGTTCCAACATCTGGAACCAAAGAGTAAAGATCTCTGTAGCAACACCAAGTCTGTGCAATATGCTGAGGGTCAAAGCTGCATTGTAGTAAAGAGCATCTGCAACCTGCACAGAAAATTCAGAAGGCTATCCTTTTAACAAAATTTCAATTCAAACTTGAAAAATCGCTTCCAAATACAATGGGTCACCTACTAATGACAAATAAGAGGTTTGCTCAGAAAGGGAGTAATCTTGTTAAGCTGCCAAAAGCATTTACTACTAGCTCACATCAAAATACCTCAAAATAAGAGGTTTTGCAAGAATATCAAACAAGTCAGAATGTCAGATTTCAATTTTACCACCAGACAACCAAATATCAGCCATAAAATCAGTATAGCCTACTATAGGGGGTGTAATAACTATGACACCTTATACCTCTCCAAATGTGGGCTGATGCCTACTGTACAAAGATTAATCACTTCACAAAATCATTCTTTTCAGGCAACTCAACAAACTGACCCAGAGATTGTAAATGAATTCCACCAAGCATGGGACTAACCCAACCCATAGAGGTGCATTCCTCTCACCTCATCAATAGGAAACCTGTACTCCTACCATCTAGGAAGCTGACTAGTATGAAAACTTACAATAACAAAATGTATGAAAATGCTTCTGTTACCCTATCATATGGAATGTATGTGGTCATGGGATTTTAACAGATTCCTTGTTTAATAAATTCATCAGTTAAAAGGGGTAGTTCCAGTTCTCAAATGAAAATTTTGGTATCACCAGCAATAGTTGACTGACTCTCAGTCAGAGAGAACACATGCAGACCCATTAAAAACATAATTTTAAAAGTACAAGATGTGATCAGAGGAGAAAATACCCAGGGAACATAGGGGACTGAACAATCTCAAATTTCTGAAGAAATGTATCTTTGATAAATTAACATGAAATTACAATATCCATAGTCTCGTGTAGAATCTTTGACAAGCCACATTCCCGTATTTGTGCAGAATATCAACAAGGAGGGGTAGCCAAAGCAGCATTATGTGTTTATTCCAAGGAGTATGGAGTAACAATCCCAAG